AAATATGTAAATGAGCTGTGTCTGACCACGCCCCCTCTCTGGAAGGACTTGGGTGTCTCTGGCTTTCTCGCTCCATGTCCTATTGTTTACGGTGAGAAGGCAGACTCAGAGGGCAGAACAAACACCTAGCTGTGGGAGTGTCACCCACCTGGGGGAGGGGCTACTGCCCTTTGTGATGTCACGATGGGAAAATCTCCAAAACGGCCTGTTTGAGCACACATTTTCTGAAAAGTGGAGCAGGCAAACGACAGAGAAGATGGACTTTTATTATAATTGGGGGGTTTAAAGACAGACTAGGAACACTTTATAAACCACGGTGAAGTGATGTTGCAGTAAGGCATACATTTAGCAAGTTTTTTGCGACAAAAATACAGAGCATTTGCGGTTGTGTAAGGGACAAGGATTCACTGTTGTTACCACAACGTGATGATGCATGACACCGTGTGTGTGTGTGTGTGTGTGTGTGTGTGTGTGTGTGTGTGTGTGTGTGTGTGTGTGTGTGTGTGTGTGTGTGTGTGCTTTGCTCTGCTTAATAATTCAGCTTTAATGATTTACTTGGTCAGGAGATTAAGCCTCCTCACTAAGCGGGACAGCTGCTGTCTCAGGGGAGAAAGACTCAAACTTCACACTCAGCAACATGAACTTGGACTGATGAATGCAGAATAACATTTCCATTAATAATCCAATATTTGAATTTATTTTCAGCAGATTATTTTTTTACTTATTCAATTCCCTGAGCTCAGGACACACTATACACTTATATCGGCCACTTTATTAGATACGCCTTGCTAGTACCGGGTTGGACCCCCTTTTGCCTTCAGAACTGCCTTAATTCTTCGTGGCATATATTTAACAAAGTGCTGGAAACATTTGTTTGGAGGTTTCGGTCAATACTGACATGATAGAATCACGCAGCTGTTGCAGATTTGTCGGCTGCACATCGATGAGAGGAATCTCCCGTTCCACCACATCCCAAAGGCGCTCTGTTGGATTCAGATCTGTTGACTGTGGGGGCCGTTTGAGTACTAGTGAACTCATCGGCATGTTTAAGAAACCAGTTTGATATGAAGAACTTTGTGACTTGGTGTGTTATCCTGCTGAAGGTAGCCAGTAGACATGGTCAGCAACAATGCTCAGGTGTTTAAATGGTGTTCAATTAGTACATAGGGACCTCGGTTGTAACGAGGGGTTATTTGAGTTACTGTTGCCTTTCTATCAGCTTGAACCAGTCTGACCATTCTCCTCTGACCTCTGACCTCTGGCATCAACGAAGCAATTTCACCCAGAGAACTGCTGCTCACTGGATATTTTCTGATATCCTAGTTGATTAGCAGTTGCTGAAATACTCACACCAGCACATCTGGTCTGTTGCTGCCATGTGATTGGCTGATTGGATATTTATAATAACAAGCAGTTGAACAGCTGTACCTAATAAAGCGGCCGATGAGAGTATATTCTCCACTGCATCTTAAATAATTGTCATTTTGTTACAAAGCCATCTGGTCACGCAGACAAAGCTTTATTTTCTATGTTCCTGTTTGATTTGATGGACTCACTTCACCAAGTGCCGTAACTTAGCTCAGCCGTCAGCGCGTCTTTGTACATTTATATTGATTCCAGTCTGTGAATTCACATTGGGATCACCTCATCCCCCCTGCAAAATTCAGACTGAAGGCTAAAGGTCACATGGGTGTAAATATCACGGCTTGAGAATTATTTAAGGAACTATCTTGAAGTTTTGTTTTGTGTCTGTTTTGTTTATTTATATATTTTATTTTTTTAATTTATTTTTTTCTAATGTTTTTTTCTTCATTTACTTTATGAATTTATTATTTCCTCTCTCTTCTTGCTCTTTGTCCTAGTATGCATGAGTGTGAATGAGACTCCTGGGTAGGCTACTGTGGAAACAGACTACCTTCAGAGTGGGAATAGGATTCCTGACTCGGTGGGTGGTTATGGGGTCAACTGGGTTGTGCGGGAGAAGGCAGGAATGGGGTTTACAAAAGATGACCACAGTACAATGTCGACTCTTATACCAACTGTATGTTTTCTTGTGATCTGTTCAAACTAATAAAACGATATTGGAAGAGAAAAGAAAGAAGAAAAAAAATATCACGGCTTGAAACGGCAGTCTGAATTTGGCTTTATAATTCTCTGATGCATGACGCACGGCATTTCCAGCCGTAAAAAAATGCACTTCCAACGGTTGGACACTAGGGGGCATTATCCGTATTTTTGCAGATCTAAGGACAACACTCACCTTTTTAAGCGGAAATGAAGAGTTACTATTTGGACAAAAATAATATGTCAACTCGTCAAATTGATCCTTTAAGTCATAGATCGTTGAAAGTTAAATATTCTGTTATCTTGTCAAGAGAAATTAGCAATATGTAGATTCAGTCTCCGATTTTAGTTATCTCTTAATGAACAGAGATCGGACATCACAGTTAACAGTCCTTTACCTTCCACTGAGAATTGGGATTGGCTCGATGAATGCTGCAACCTGGTGCTGTTGATATTCACAATAATCGATTACACAGTGACGGGCAGCTCTGATCAATACGTGGGGTGTGATGAGCGGTTTGGCCTCTTCGTGTACCTGACCCCCTGCTGGCTCTCATCTCCTCTGAGCCCCCCCGCCCCTTGTAGAGGCTTTAGGCCCCTCTGTATGCAAAGAACGGAGGTGGGAAAAGTTTTCCCTCTCTCCCTGTCTGCCTCTTGAGTGACTTCACATTAAGTCAGAAAAAGCGTCCATAACAACAGAGCAGCTCTGCAGATCTGTGAATAAACAACAGCACTGTTCTCCTTCCTCTGAATCCTCTGGGAGACGTTTTGGCCCCAGCATGGCAGCAGAACTCGTTGTGCTCATTTGGAAAACTCTAGAAGTATATTTCCTTTCTTATTTCTCCTCATAAATTCTTCAGAACGTCTTGTTTTCTAAGCATTGAACCACACAAAGGAAAGGTTGAGCTGAATAATGAGTTTTGACGATGGATAGGAGGAAAATAGACGGGAAGCAACAATGAAATTTGAGTCAATTCAATACATGCTCTGTCCATTTTCAGTATTAAAACCTAAAGAAATGAGTCCATGATGGTTTGTCTAATAGCAGGATATAGTAATACAAAGTGATGGTTAAGTTGATTATGAAATGATATTGAACATTTTAGCTGTGATTCAGCATTCAGATTTCAGCCTCTGAACAATCATCTTTTTAATCCCAAACTGTGAAATTATCAGAGAGTGAGACTTGATGCAGCAGTTGGGGTTTAATTACTTTTGCTGGAGGGCAGTTTGGTAATGTTTGAGAGGCAAGCTGTGTTTGTTTACTCTGCCCGACTTGATCTTCATCTACAAAACTGTCTCAATCTTTTATAGGCACCGCGGATTTCACCATAAACTTAAAAAAAGAAAACATACAAAGCATGCTGACATGAGCTACTTTATATTTAATTGTGCCTGCGTGTGATTTAATGAAGCATCCTGACAGAACAACGTGAAGTTAGATCTTTTCTGAAGTTAACAGATGCTAAGTTTCTTCTTCAGATCTCTACAGCATGTAATGCTACAGTTATGTCACTGAGGCGCCAGTATCCTGTACGGAGGCAATGGTCCTCCAAGTGTGCGGCCTGGGTTTGAATCCCACTCGTCTTCCCCCTATTTCTGACTGTATGTTCCGTGCTATCTCTAAAAAATAAAGACATGAAAAGCCCCCCCCCCCCCCCCCCCAAAAAAAAAACGCTTAAATAAAAGTGGGTAGCGTGGCCCGTGGGCTAAATGACTTCAAGGGGGCGGGCCATTACACCTGTCACTCATTTCACTGTGGAAGTAATTGGAGGAGGATGATACATAGGGTTGTAAATAAAAATTAAAAAAAATTAAATTAAAAAAAAGCCCTTTTAGAGAGATTATGTGTTTTTTTCTTGTAACTATTAGGTTCAGTCTTTACTCTAGGATCCACTGAAACTTAAAAACAATCTGTTGGAAGTGTTTTCCCATCTTCTCATCTGTATTATTTGAGAAAGGGAAGGCTTAGCCCTGCCCATTTATAGCAGCCGTCTCTGGTCATGTGTAACAAAAATGTGCTCTGCCTCTCCTTTTTTTTTTTTTTTTTTTTTTTTAAGAAAGCAGGCATTCTGATCCAATTCTACAAAAATAATTAATATTATTAATAAAAAACGATTTCTGGAACATTATATTAAACATACATTTACCTGATGACAAAAAGGTTTCAGCAGTCCAAATTCAAAACGTTGTATAGAGCCGTCTCCTCCCACCCCCTCCTCCTGAGAGTCGAGATGCACGCAGGTAAAACTGTCAAGATGCAGACACTGAAGCTTCACTTTATCTCCTTCATCTCCAATATTGATCCTAGTTTGAGCACGTTTCTGCTCGTGGAGCTTATTAGAAACATGCAGAGGCTTTTTAGGTCGGGTACAATCACTTCTATGTAAACCACTTCTCTTGACCCGCTTCCATCGCTGCAACACCTGTTGGTTTGCCGTTTGACTGGCAAACCAACAGGTGAGGGTAAAACGGCCGCGTGGGGGGGTCGCCTTAAAAGCGCCTACCTTCTCTGGTCCAGACAAATCCAGAGCATTCAGGAGCAGAATCTAAAGTTAGAAGGAGGACATACTGCCTGCTGCATTGTTGTCAGTTTCCTTAATGTCTGATCATATAGTAAGCTCATCAGATCTTACAGATTGGTCCTTAAAGTTTCTCTTTTTTCATCAACTGTTTTGGTTGGTAGTTTACAGTTTAGGAGACAAAAAAACCGAGATATTTTGAGCTGTTTAAACTGCTGATTCATCATCGTTTTGGTGTTGGTCCTGTAGACAATTGCTTTTATAGTAATCAGCTCCGACTGGGGGGCTTTCAAACCTGGTGGGTATGAGTCAGTGGACCAAAATACAAGAGGTTTTGATTGAAGTCATTCCCTGATGTAACAGAGGAGAGAGACAGCAGCAGTGCTTTAAAGGAAGAGAGATGTTCCCACTTACACATCAAAGCGCAGGTTCTGCTTCTCTTCAAAGAAGAAATCAAGGACAAACTTCCTCACAAAGTCGGGGTTCAGCGTGTTATCGATCACTTCTGTCCGACCAAACTGTAAAAAAAACAAAAAAAAAACAGAGATGAGACGAGACAGAGAGGAAGAGAAGAGTCAACATGAGAAATGATCAGTCGGTACATGTGCTCAGAAGGGAAGGATCAAACTCTTACTGCATTGTACATGGTGTTAACCTGATTATCAAGACAGCGCTCAAACTTGTAAAAGTTAAGCCTGCTTTGATCAACTTGGAGTAATTAAGATTAAAATTAAATAACCCACTTACATGTTTGGGTATGTTAAGACTTTTCCCATCATGCACCAATGCAGGAGGAGCTGCACAGGTTAAATTCTTTGATATTTTATAATCATTAATAAATATTCAGGTGTCATCTAAAACAGTGGTTGTCACCTCGTCTAGGCCCAACCACCGACTCCTCCATGAGAAATAGCGCCCCAAGTTTCTGGTATTTTTCAACCAATCAGATTTCTTTAATGCAAAATTGTGCAGCAGAAGATCAACAACTTGTTATGGAGGAAAGTAACCGAACAAATCAAACAAGTTTAAAAAGCGTTTTGTAGACTTTTTGACACCAGGCACACATTCATGACCCACTAAAAACGGCTCCGCGACCCACTTTTGGGTCCCGACCCACCAGTTGAGAACCACTGATCTAAAACAAAAGTTTCTGCGCGAGGGTCAGATATTAGGAAAAATTTCTTATAATGTGTTAACTCATGTTTGCCATTAGAGACATCTTACTGTAAAAATGATAATCATTCAGTGACATAAAAAGTTGAAAATGAAGTTAAAGGTATAATATGTCGATTTTTATTAGAATGATAACATTAAAATATCTTAATTAAAATAAATTGACTAAGCCTTTGTTATATATATTTTAGTGTTGAGTACTGACATTACCTGAAATATTTCCAACATCAAAGCCAGAGAAATCCCTCATTTTATCGTCATAACAGGACGTGTCTTGTCTTTGGGGCGGCCATGACCGTCACATACAGTATTTATCGTTGCCAAGGAAACACCGGCTGTTACGTCAAAGACCGCCGCATAAGGAAGCAGGGATCGCTACTGATAGCTGTCGTTCTGTTGCTGTTTGTGCTGCTGTGAGAATGTCATGAACATTACATCAGCTCGTCAGTAAACATATTCTCTTCCTCAAGTCGGTTTCCCCCGGTACATCTTGACTACGGTCAACGCAGAGTTCATTTTTAGGGGGAGGGAGGAGCAGAGAGAATCACTCCCATGATTGCCCGCCAGTCTCGATGTCATCTTTTTTTTAACGTTTTGATTGAGAGCCTCCTGGTGGCAGAATGTACATACTGTGTATAAATCGTTGTTAATACAGCTCTTAAACCTAAAATACATTTCCCACATTGTATTCCAAAGTAAGTCCCTTTAATCTATCAGCTTAAACATAAACCTGAATGACTAAAACATAAAATGTGGGGATAAATCATGGATCGCTGCCTTTTACATCTTCATTATGATATTTTAGATTTTGTCTTGTAAAGAGAGGGAGAGGGACCCTAAAGCAGACACAAATGGGTAATGCAAAGACTTAAAGGAAGATATTGACAGGTAGCTAAACCTGTAGCAGCAAACTGGGAGGCAGGTTCTGGATGAAAAGGGGGATGAAGGACAAAACTGGCAGATGGCAACTGAGACCAACTGGCTATGGAAAAAATAAAAATGGTGAATGGACTTGAGCTTGTATGGCACTTTTTTTAGTCTTCTGACCATCAGAAGTAACTAATCCCATTCATACACATTCACAAACCACGGATGAAGCAGCAGGAGAAACTCAGGGTTAAGTCTCTTGCCCATGGACACATTGGACATGTTGCTGCAGGAGCTGGGGATCAAACCCTTGACCTTCCAGTTAGGAGACAACCGACTCTACCAACTCAGCATCCGCCCTAAAATGGCAGTATATATGGATTTAATGGGACTTAGCTATAAAGACAACCCGGGGTAATGAAAGCCTGGCAGCAGAGGAGGAACAGGAAAACTGACGGTGACAGGAAATCACTACATTACATCACTATTTTTCTCACCTTTGACAACAGCGCACTAATATGCCAACACTTTGTGTCACACTGTGATGAACGATCAACGCTTCCTCTCACACAAGTGACTCTCTTGTTGATTGTTCTCCAATCACAGACTCGTTCCTCAACTCAAGACTCGAGGCTGTCAGGCCGGTGACAGAGATGAACTATTGATTTGATGTTTTAAGTAACTACATGAAGCTGCAGGTATATACTTTAAGATATAATAATATATTATTAACACAGTTCAGTCGTTTTCAGGGTAGTCAGTATTGTCTGAATAAAGGAGGAAACCCAGCTCTGCTTTATTCTGGATCACATCTATAGTATGACAAATCCTGTTCACATGATAATGAGTAGTTTGTACTAAATCCAATCCTGTGAGGGCACAGATGAATGGTGGTCATTTTCTGATTGGCGACACAACATACCAGAGCTGTTGAAACAGACTTTGCCTGAATTGGAACTTGTAATACCCTTTATTTATTTTAAACCGTGTTTTTATGTCTTGAAACATAATAAATCAGCAGATGCAAACATAAGGCTTAAGGAAAGCATTCTTGATGGAAATAAACAAATGACTTTTACAGCTGAGGTGTTTCATAATTGATTTGCAACCCAATTAAGATCATCGATTTGGTGGCTCCTTGCTTTGAACACTAAATCAATAGAAATAAATCAACTTAAATAGACACAAGGGGACGTGGACAAGAAGTAAGGCTTCATTTATGCAATTTGTAAAAGTGGCTGATGGGAGCTCCAGACATGAATCTTTCCTCTCTCTCTCTCTCTCTCTCTCTGTCTCTCTCTGTCTCTCTCTGTCTCTCTCTCTGTCTCTCTCTCTCTCTCTCTCTCTCTGTCTCTCTCTCTCTGTCTCTCTCTCTGTCTCTCTCTCTGTCTCTCTCTCTCTGTTTCTGTCTCTGTCTCTGTCTCTCTCTCTCTCTGTCTCTCTGTCTCTCTCTCTCTCTCTCTCTCTCTCTCTCTCTCTCTGTCTCTGTCTCTGTCTCTGTCTCTCTGTCTCGCTCTCTGTCTCTGTCTCTCTCTCTGTCTCTCTCTCTGTCTCTCTCTCTGTCTCTCTCTCTCTGTTTCTGTCTCTGTCTCTGTCTCTCTCTCTCTCTGTCTCTCTGTCTCTCTCTCTGTCTCTCTCTGTCTCTGTCTCTCTCTCTCTGTCTCTCTGTCTCTCTGTCTCTCTCTCTGTCTCTCTCTTTAACTTGATATCAGGGTATAGTTTTTAATCTTCATATAGTGAAGTGTCTGCTAGGGAAGCATTTTAATCCATTGAAACCATATTCTAAGACAATGCGTATGTGACATGTATTCATATGTAAATGCCAGATGTAAAAAAAGGATCAAGCACCTACATACTTTACAGCGCAGACACATAAGAAACCTCCTCCCTCCTTCAGTGTATCATCTCTGGAAAAACTCCCCCGCTGCTCTGCAGAGCCTTAAATTAGAGCCCCCTTGTTTCATATTTACTTGTTAACTGTTCTCCCTGGCTTCACAGAGCAAGAGCCTGGATTTGTGGGTCTGGAGGGGGGCGCAGACCTCTTGGCTTACTGTTGCATCACGATCTTTGATCCGGCAGTGACAGCAGCATACTGTGAAGTCCATACTGCTGCACTGCTTCACATAAATACGGATCCAGAACAAAGGACCTGCAGGGAGTTCATTTTTCAGAAGTGCTTCCAAAAGCTGTCAGGTTTTTTGTTTTTTTCTTGGGTTATTTTTCTTGAAACAAACAGAACAGAAGAGCAGGAAAAAACACACGAGACAAATTGAATCCTCAGGGAGAGAGCAAATATAGATTTAATAAAATACTTTTTATACTGATTAAAAATGATTTAATAGACTGTGGTAGTCCCCGTGTTCCCCGCCTGAGCCTGTCCCTTTCAGTAGGTGGCTGACAGTATGGGTAATGTAGGCGATGAGAAGTTGTGATTGAGTCTCCCGCTTCGGTCTAAGGTGTCTGAAAATAAAGTGACCCGGTTCAGATAATGTACTCCGTCTCTCCTTCTACTTTATACCCTGAATAAAACCGGACTGCTTGTTAGCAGCCTGAACGAGCCGAGCAGCTGTCCTGTACTACGCTGAGGGACGACGAGGCTGATAACAAGGTAACACCCGAGAGGAAAATATGAGCTTTTGTACTGAAAATCAAAAGAAGGCAGCAAAGTAAATGGAAAGTTTATGTTTTTATGGATCTACAAACTAACTGGTATTTATGTTTGTATGACTTGGTGTTATTCATATCCACAAAAACAGTAGCACACTTTCTTTTTATGTTATAGCTTCGTTGTTTCATAACTTCTACACCATCGTTTTTTTTGCTTCCATACAGACTTGTTTTTATAACTTTTATTTAATGCCTGGCCCCAGAGAAAAAGATTTTTTAAATATATTTTGAACATTTGAGAGACTCCACACATGGCGACACATAATGATGGATTAAGCGGTTTTGTTCTTAAAGTGTTTGTAGAGAGCAACGATGTGACCACACACTGACAGTCCCAAATCTCCACACTGGAAATGTTTAGAGAAAAACAAACATGGGAAGAATTTGTGATCATTTTTAAGACTACTTTTTATTGAAAGTTCCCGATGAAAGAAGTTAAACTATGGATGAAGATGTGGAGAAGTTGTGTGAAGAGATGCTGTACATGTTTCTTAGGTAAGTAAGTAACTGATTTACAGAAAGCAGAAACCTCCGGTGCTGCAAAAATGAGGCTAATGCAGTTTGTCGAGAGTCTGCTTGAGGCTGCAGCAAGAGCACCAAAAGTCACTTTCACACCACATTCAAAAATGCCTGTTTTTTTTTATGGCACAAATGAACATGTTTACAGCCTGGTACAAAAAAAGATTTAGCTATGATGAGTTATTGTCCTCCAAAGCCCCCTTCAGTAACAGAAATGTGACATCACTCACGCTCTGGCCTTTAATATTTACAGTGTATGGTTTGCTCCCTTCTTTAGTCAGTTCGCTTCCCA